CAAATTAAAACAATGTATTTAATGATATACATTTTAAGAAACTATTTGATTAGCTTTTTCTTTTGAGATCAGTTTAGTCACTTACTTGAAAAATTATTAAAAAAATTTGGATAAGAAATTAATTTTAAAAAGAAAGATGAATGTAGAAAAAATTACCTTCGCATTACTTGAATTTAAGTGATATTATAATATTCAATATTTCATTATTTTTTATCATTCAAATATTCTTAAATTAATAAATAAAAAAACGTCTGTGACTCTGATTGAAATTAGGAGAAATCCATATTAATAGAAAAGAAAACTATGCTATAATTATATTAATTGAGAGAGATTTATATAATGTAAAACATAAACAGTCATATTTAGTATGAATGATGTTACTTAAATATTATGAATAAAGAGGGTGAAATTCAGTCAACGGCAGGGTGAGGGGTGTAGAATGTTATTGAATGTCTAGAGTGTTTTACAAGCTCATATCATACGGCAAAGGAGCATGGGCTTAGTTCTAAAAAATCTATCATTCGTCAGCAACAATAAATACAAAATGACCATGTCACCAACAATTTCTTGTTCACCCAAAAAATTAACAAGTAATAAAAGGTTGGATAAAAGTAGGGCTTTTTTTATATTTGAAAAAAATGTTAAATATGAATTTTTGAGAAAAATTATAAAAATGTATTAAAAATAGTCATTGATGACTTTTGATAAAAAAAAAAAAAAAAAGATTGACGATAGCTTTTATAATCTTTGAATCTCAACACATGTATAAAAAATTATCATTAATTATTTTTGAAATTTGATATAGCAAAATTAACCCTAAAATCCCATATTCCTATATATTATTTTATCAAATCTTGTATTTAAAATAATTAAGATAAAAGTAGAGTTTTTTTTTAAAAAATAAATAAGTGTTTTTAGTAATTATAATTTAAGCGCTAGATTTTTTATTTTCTTTAAATAAGATTTAGTTTAATTTTAATAAAAATATTAAGATACCTTAATAAATTTACTCAACTCGAATTAGAATAATAAGAGTCTAATGTTACTATAAAATAACAAGAATCTACCTTAACATGGCTTCATTATAGCTTGTAGTGAGAAGTTGGGACAGAGTTGAGAGCAAGACCAAACAAAAAAACTTATTAAAATTATTTTGAGATTATTAAGTTTTTAACTAATTGTGTCTAATAAATAAATGTTAACACAAATTTGTTCCTTTTAATATTACAGAGAGATATCAAAGCAATTTATACTTCAAGTGCATTATAATCGTTCTTGTTCTTCAGAGTTTTTCTGTTCACACCATGAAATAATTAAGAATCAATTTAGCTCAATCAATTTGTTTTAAAAAGTAAGAATAAAACAACACAGAGAAACTTCTTATAATAGTAGATGAATGTTATAAATGAACTTCTATTATTTAGACAGACCTTCAAACAATATTTGATCATTATTAAGATGATCATAAATTACTTTTGAAAAATGTTTACATTTACATATTATAAGCCATTATATCGTCTTTATATTCAACAAATAAATTACTTATTATTAATAATACAACAATTTAAATTTATTCAAAACTCCAATTAGAAAATCATCGATTAATCATATGTAAATCATTGATTAAATGTTTAATTTTACTAAATGAAAAATGAAGTGAATTCTTTTTGAACGTCTCAAAAAAGGATAAAGGGGTTTCATTTGGGGGAAGCTATTATGATGCATATCCTAACCAAATGAGTATCTATTTCTCATTCCTTTGTCGCAAGAAATCTATGAAGGTAAGTTATATATGTAGACATTTTCAATTTTTCATTTTCAAACATAACTTTCAAAACCAATATGAACAAGGCTTATTAGGGAGGGAGAATTTCTGAGGAAATTGATTGTTCGATTTGGTTTTTATTCCAAAAGGGATCATTTGAATAGTGCAATGAGCATATAAAAAACCCAAATTCCAACTTAATGTATGAAGGGTTCAAGTCCAAATTTTGTTTAGGTTATGGCTTCATCTTCAGCCTCTTGGGGGAACAGAGGAGTGTTACGCAAGGTTGAAAAGCTGCTGAAGAGGGTTGTGAGTCAATTCCTTATGACATTTTATTTTGCTCTTTGGAAAGCAAAGGAAGTAAGGCATATTCTTCCTCCCCCAAGTAGTTGAGGACAAGCAAAATTTTGTGGCATTCCACTAAGAATTATATTTATATGGTAAATAGTGATTATAAGATTGGTTAATGTTTGTTGCAAAATGCCAAAAGACTAATTTGTACTTTTACTTCACTAAAAGTATTAAGTATTGAAATAAAAATATTTATTATAACAAAAATATACAAATATACAATTATTTAACATTAATTGTTAAATAATTTAAAATATTCAATAAAATATATCAAATTTTTTTTAGAAATAGTAAAATAGCATGATCTTTGATAATAAATAATGAATTTATATGTATGTTTTTTAACAAATCCAAATATCTTAGCTTAAATTTACTGCTTTATGTGTTAATAAACTACTAGTAGTAGTTCTTGAAAGATTGAATGTTAATAGTAAATGGTAGAGTAGAGTGACATCAAGATCTTTAAATTTTATTTACAAGTTTAATCTTAGAAGAATGGGAGGGAAAGAGAGGGTTTTTATGATACTTTTCCTTGTTAAAAAGTTTTTAAAATAAGGAAAGTGAGAGTTTACCTTCTTTTTTCTCTTCCTTTTCTCTCTTACCTCTCATTTTTTTTTATAAACTATTAAATAAAGCTTTAGAGATTCGTCTCAAAAATGACTTTTAAGTTTTTCTCATCTTTATAAATCCTTTAGCGGAACTCATAATTCCTAAATAAGAATTATATTATACTTGAATCTGCGTTTATAAACATAATTTGTGAAAGTGATTACCTAAAATATATCAACTTTACAAATTTTAACTATCATGCACTCTCAACATTGTTTAAGAAATTATTAATTAACTTTACAAAGATTAAAGACTTGACCAAAATTATAATTTAGTATAATATTGTGAACATGCTTAACATTGTTTAAGAAATTGTTAATTAACTTTACAAAGATTAAAACATCAACTTTCTCTTTATTGATGTATTAAAAGTATCAAATGACTAGACCAAAATTACAATTTAGTATAATATTGTGAATTTGATATTTCCCTTATAATAGTATATTCCTTTATCCTTCAAGATTTACCTTCTTAAAATGCATTTTCAATATATTCACCAATAAGATTTTCTTTCTTCCTAATTTTTAGACGATGAATTGCTAGCTATCAGTGTTTGAGAGGGTTATCCCCTATTTTCATTTAGAAAACTATTTTTTGTTCTTAAAATAATATTTTATTCGAGGGACGAATTGTGGATTTAACTTAATTGAAATGAATTGTAAGTAACTTTACTATTTTTTAAAATTTTGTTTTGACATATTAACAAATTTAATTGTGTAAATAATTTTATAAAATGTGGAATTCGTTAGATAGTGTAATAACAAACTTGTGTAAAACCTTTGGTACTATTTAATCAAAATTAATTTCTTGAGGATTTAAATCCTTGCGCTTGAATTTATATTTATGGAATTAAAGATTTCTTCAATTCCTTTTTCTGCGGGGTGCTGATGCTTTTTGACAAATAGTTAATATTTGACCAACTATATTATTTAATCAAAATATAAAAACATTTTTTCATTTATTTAATTAAATGTGATAAATAATAACATATTAATCATTCACTACTAAAAATAATAGTATGGTGGGAAAAACAAAGAAAAAAGAGGGTCTCCTTTAGAACTTTACTAGCATGCATAATAATGTCATTTATCACATATGATAAATTAAGCATTGGCAATAATTAACATTTGCCCAAATCTTCAAAAGCTTATTATGATGTTTACGTCAGAAGTTCAATCATCGATGGCCAACTTTTCTCTTCCTTGCGCCTCCCTTGAAACCATTAAAAAAATAAATAAACTTTTTTCTAAAATTAAGTTGTTTAAATATGTCAAGTGGTTTAGTTAGTAAAGTCCAACATGGGTCCAAACAATTTTAGGAGGAAGAAATTTTAATAAATGAGATATTTATTTGATTCACTAGAAAGAAAAAGAGAATAAATATATTTATTATTATATTTGGGATAATTAAACATGCTCATTAAGTTAAGAATAATTTTGTACAATTTATTTTTAAAAAAAATTCTCCAAATTCTTTTACTTGGTTGAAGGGAGCAAAAATGGAAAAAGCTTACTCCCTCCCCTTCTTTCTTCTTCTCAAAACATTGAACCAAACATGAAAAACAAAACTCCTTTCCTTTCTTCAATTTTTCTCAAATCAAATATTATGTTAGGAGTTGACTAGGAGAAGAATTTTGGAAGGAAATAGAGGATTTTTTAAAAAAAAATTAGACTAATAAAATTATATAATATTTATTATAATATATAATTTTATATATTATATTTTAAACTAAAACATTTATTTTAAATAGGAATCCTACCTTCCTTGGAAAATTTACCTGCATATTTGTTGAGTTTGCAGTTAGAAAAAATCTATGTTGATTTGTAGAAGGAACTGGATCAAATCCTACCATTTCCTATCAACTTTTCTGCATTAAATTATTTAAGATAAAAATTTCAATTAAATGAACAGGCAAGAGTTATCTACTGATAAACTTGAATGATTTAAATAATGATACACTTTAAAATAAGTATATCTATTCAAATTAAATTATCGTTATTTTTATTATTCAAATCTAGCAGTAGATAACTTATATTTATTCATTTAAAAACATCAATCAATCAGATAATTCATTTTATGTTATAATTTAAAGGGGAAAAAAAAGAGTCAACGCAAATGCAATACATGGATTCCTAGTGTTTAGGTTAGTTTATTAGGATATGAAAGTATGAATCCAGTGCAGGAGGACCTGTATCTAAACAAGGCCAGATTAAAAAAATGTTCTTCCGCTTTTGTATACACACGTCAATTTTCAAACACATAGGAGTATTCTTATAAAATTATCACCAAGTTTTATATTCATGTCAAATTCTTAAATTATAAACAAAAGTACATGTTAATTATACAAGAATTTATCTTGGGTGTCTTTCCTTAAAGACTACAATATGAACCAATTATTTGTCTTCCCCTATTTTTAATTCAAACCAATCACACATTTTGGACAAATACCCAATTGAATCTTTCAAAGTTCAACAAGATTCAATACAATGTCCTAGATAACTAAACACCTGCACACATACATAATATTTTCATGCTGCATATTAAAATCATGTATCCCAAATTCAACTTGTTACACAGTAATAATGAAAGACTAGACTAGACTATGTATGAGAGCAAAAAAGGAGACAGCATTGTGGCTTAATCGTTCCTTTCTTACTAAGCAATTTGCTTTGTGTTCAAGATAACAGAAACAGTTACCCATCTTAGATGATGGAAGTGGGGAAAGGCATAATTACTACCCATATTCAAAGTGACATACTAGTACCCATTTAGTTAAGAAAACATTTGGGTGTTGGGGATCTCATCAATAAGCCTAAATTTCACAAACAATTACATAAACTGCAATGTAAGTTACCATGCACCTTTGAAAATACAAGGTAATAATTAGTTGCTGCTCAGCATCTCCAAGTTGAAACTGAGATAAGTTCCTTTCGCTGCCAGCATAGAATAAGAGATGAAGGCTTTCTCTCCACATGAAATCCCCTTACAGGTGCCCTCTGAACTAAACACTCAGCTTGAGCTTCCGTGACGTTAGTAAATGTGAATGGAGAGAATCCAGATTGTAGAAAGAGGTTCCTCCATGGAGGCAATTTTTCTTGAGAATGCTGGTGGCCAAGTATAATTTTCTTGATGGCTGGTTGGATGAAATGCCTCTCAATCTTTTGGAGGACGTCAAGATTCACATTTACTGCGTCGAGTGATTCGAGCAAGGCTGAATAACATTGGAGAACATGGACTACATTGATGGGAAGTGATACGTCAATTCGGTCACAATTTCTATCCAAAGTGACCACCACTTTTGGCCTAAGCTGCTTTACAAAGTGGAGAACTGAAGGAAACAAGGATGGATAATTTGTGAAACATGAAACTGGCATATTCACAGCAATTGCCTCATTGTCAAAGAACTGACCAAGCAGGGGACAAGAAGGGGAATTAAATGACTCAATGCTCAAAACATTGAGCTCGAACGACATATTGATGTCTTTGGCATGTTGATTCAAATTCTCTCGGGTGAAATTGAGCTCAACCTCATCGCAGGTTGAGGGTGACACAACAGCAGTAACTTTGAGTGAAGGGGCACCACTATTTCTCAAGGCAAGCTCTTGCATAAATGATGACCACTGCACTCCAAACCCGATATCAAAATCGATAATGTGAATTCGATCAAACCTCTCCACAGCTTCAATGAGGGCTTGGTTACAGGTAAAATTGGCAAACTGAAGAACAGGTGATATCTCAGAAAAGGACTTGTAAGCTCCAATTTTGAATATGAAGCTAATGGGTGAGAAAGCCAAAAGATTTTGAACATTTGAATGAAGCAGTGACATCAAGGCTTCCTTCATGTAGAAAGCAGCCCTCTGAAAAGGCTTACCAATTGGTGAGAGCTGGTGATTGAGCCGCGCCAATATCCCTTGCGCATGAACCGGATTACCAGCTTCTATCAGCTCAGCAGTTTTGTATAACTGATCAAAGATGGCCTGCTGAAGCTGGTGGTTTGAATCTTCTCCGGTGGAACTCACCTTCTGCGGTTTAGCAGATGGCATAACCAATGTTTGTTGTTGTTGTGATGGTTGGATATGATGAGGAAACAATGGAAGCTGTGTTTGTTGCCTCCTACCAAACAGTTCTTGCCCTGAATCCAAAAGGGGCAACCTTGGAACCTGATAATTGTGCCCAACAGGATCAAAAAGGGGGCGTTTTGCTTGATGCTGAGAGAACACTTGTTGCTCTTGCACTGGAGGGTACATCAATGGTACAAAGAAAGAGGGATTTTCAGAGAACTGAACTTGATTCTGGTTCAACATAAACTGAGGATTGATGACTTGAGGTTTCTCATCTACCACTCCAAACTCTTGCTGCTGAGAAGTGAATACACCCGGAGATGATGACACCATAAGAGGGTTATTACCAGAAGAAGAAAATATAGATTCTGAAACTGATACAGAACCAGCCTTTGCATTTTGGCCATCAATATTCTCAATGAAAGGAAAACCAGGGTAGTTCCCAGGCACAGAAGGGTCAAAATCACTTACCATATTATTCAACCCTTGATCCACAACACCAAAACCTGCATTGAAATCAACACTTTGAGAGGCACAGCCACTGCTTTGTAAGAGCTTGTTCAATCCTGCAGAAGGGTCTTCAACATCACCCATGATTAACCTGAGAATAGATTGATCTTGACCCTCCCAGTCCTCCATTCTCATCCCACATTTTTCTGGGCTGGTTTCCAAGGATTCCTGAGGAGGGTTCTCAGAGACTGTAGGGGCTGAAACAGTGGTGTTGTTGGCTGAACCACTACCACCCTTGCTATTGCTGTTGTTGCTGCCAAGAGAAGAGGACATTGTAGACGAACAAGTAAGAGAGCTTGGGCTTCTTCTGGAGTCAAGAAGTGAGGTGCACTCAGTGCCCACATAGCAATAATCCTCTTTGTCTATGGTCCACTTTTGTGGATGATGCAAAAGCAGTGAAAATGAATCTGAGGCTGAAGCAAAATCCAACACTCCCTTCCCTTGAAATTCCTCAAAAGGCAAGGGCATGGCCTTCATCTAAGAAAGTTGCCAAGCAGAAGAACAATAACTGTGACCACAAAACCAACCACCCAAAAGACTCCAGTTTTTCAAAAGGTAGCACCTTTGTTCCCCACACCCACCACCCAGAACTGATTTGAAAGCTGGAATTTTTTCACAAATGGGTTTACAAATCCAGAAACCCAGCTTAGAAATTAAGCAAATTTAACCCCCGAAAAAGAACAAACACAAAAAAGAACAAATTTTGGGTGGAAAAAAGCTCAATTTTTATTCTTTTTTCTTGGGATATTCTAAATTATTGATGAACACTGAATACATAGAGTGTTCCAAAAAACAAAAAGAAATAACAAGTTAGGCACCTCTAAAGCTTGTTTTTTTCTGGCATATTAAGCTTGAAACAGTTGCAGATCTGAGGAAAGAAAGCCATGGATGTGATTCTTTGTGGCTTGTGTGTGTTTTCTGTGTGGAACCCTCCTTGTTGTTGCTTGTGTCTTGTAAGATAGATGCGTGCAGCGTATAAAAGTGGTAAAGTGCGCTCTCTCTCACTGTTTCTACTTTTTTTAATTTCTGTTTTTTTTATCTTTTAAATTTATTTTTGTGCACCTTGTCTGCATACGTAGTTTTCCCTCTGGTTGGTAGGGTTGCTGTCGCCTCCCTCATTTTCCTCCACTCTCACTACTACCGCGTGAACTTCACTTTCGTATATTAACGTATATTTCTGTTAACTTTTTAATATTCTCCACACTTTATTTAAAATGTATTCCATCGTATTAAAATTTAATGCAATCACCTCGTGACAGTGTACGAAACTTTTTAATAGTCTCATGACAGATTTATAGCATTTAATTTTTAAATATTTAAATAATTTTCCTAATATTTTTTTTGTTATGTTATATTACTTACTGCTTTTGTCTTTTATTTTTATATCCATTAAATGCATACATTTTAAAAAATAAATATTTATCAAATAATTTCTATTAAAAAAAAAGTGTTCTCCGCAACAATATGATCCACCAATTTTAGCAAAATGAGTAACTCATTAATCACTTTCGCCTTTCCAACCTAATTTGCGTTTTAAAATGAAAGAATTCAAAAAGCAAGATGGACTCATTAGCTTAGATTTTTAAAAAATATATAATAATAAATCAAAGAAATTAAGATTTTATATCTTTTGAAATTTTATATATAAAAAATTTAATAAATATAAAAATTAAATTCTAATGTTAATAAAATTAGTTATTTATTTAAGCTAAAATTTAATTATATGTGAGAATAAATAATTTAAATATGAGATTCAAAAACAATATATAACAAAATCTAAAATTTTGGAAAAATTATAAAAATATGAAAATCCAAAATTTTTAATCCAAAAATACATAAATAAAATACTCTAAATTTGTAAAAATATAAATAATACTAAAAGTTATTGTTGATGATTTTTTTAATAATTATTAAAAAATAAAATTATCAGGAATTTTTCAAAAAATTACAAAAATATTTTTAAAAACATGGCAATTTTTCAAAATTTGTTATGTTTTGAAAAATATATATTTTTCTCAAGCAAAAAGGTCATTTTTTATTTATATTATTTTTACTTTGTCATTTTTGGATAATAACTAATTCAAATAATAATAATACATAAATATTTACACTCATCACACTTCTGGCAAAATATTAGATATACAAAAATATAACAAATAATAAAATAAAAACAAATAAAAATATAAAAACAAAAAAATATAAAATTTAATTGAATAAATATCAAGCGTTAGTATTTTTATATCGATTTCTATTAAAAACTGTGACATGGTTCAAAACTTGCGATTGTCCACACAAAAAATACACTGTAATAATATATATAGTAAAACATTTTACACATTAATTAATTATTTATTGAAGTGTGTATAACATTTTTCAAAATATGTAGGAGAAACTTGAAGTATAAAATAATGGTGAATTGCTGACATTTTGAAAGTTGAGACCCACAAATCCAGTCATGTAAAAGGACTTTGAATGTCTTTTCTTTATGAAGCAAAATTCCTTACAAATCGTTACATTTAGTTCCTCTTATTCATTTATTTCTTTATGAAGCTAAGATGGGAGACTTCAAATTACTCTAAGACTACTAATAATGTAACATATTTAAATAAATTGAATATTAAGATGTTATTTAATTTATGTTTGAACTTAGCAATTTTTTTTTACTTATTCAATATAGAGCAATATGCAATTTGAAATGTTTAGAACAAGCGTTAAATCTTAGGTGGTATTAAAACGAGGTAACTAAAAAATTTATAGAATTTAAATTTTTAAAATATTTTTATTTTGATAGAGTAATTGAATTATTTATATTTAAAAAATAAAATTATCACTATATTTAATAAAATTAATTAAAAATATAACATATAAATTAGTAAATTAACCATAATTAAATATTATATATATATAATACAAAATAGATTAAAAAAATTCTAAATTCTCACCTTTTTATTATTATTTAAAATTATTTAATTTTAATCTATTGAAAGTCTCTACTAAAATTTTTTAAAATTAAATATCTAAACAAAAATTTTTAACTCATAATCATAAGTTTTTTTTTTAAATAATTACTTACTTAAAATATTTCATTAGCTTCTTTGATAACTGCCACAATAAAATTATTACGACGGTGCGTTTGTCTCAAGTTTGGTAAGTTTTTTATCCTACCACTATAAATTATATAAATTACCAATGTTTCAAATTAGAAGTTTAAGAACAAGATTTATGAAAAAAAAAAGTTAGGTTTTGAAACATTACTTTGTTGATATAAAAAATTATTATAAAATAATTAATTGATGATTAATTTAGACATAACATATATTTTGTAAGTGATTATTGTTTTGAGTTTGAATTTTGTATATAAATAACTTGTTAAGAATTTTGTATAGAAGATAATGAACAATGATTTAAAATATTAGTTTTAAAGTACAAAATCAATCACTATTTTTAGAGAAATATTCACTTCAGATAATATTACTATAAGTTAATGATGATATAATTAAATTTTTAAATTTTTTGTCTAATAATAACAAATTTTTTTCTTGAAAGATTCGAATATTGATAGAATTCGTATAATTATTCTTTGTAGTATAATATTTTAGTAGATTTCGCTTTATTTATTAATTTTTTCATTTAGTTTAGTTTTTATTTTAATTTATGAAATTTTACATTAATAAAAAGGAGTTTTTATGTCACGTTACAGGAAATTTTGTTTCAAAAAAATTTAAAAATATTCAAACTCACATATTAAATAAAGTAATAATATGTTACTTGTTCAATAATAAGAATTATTTATAATTGATAATTAGATGCAATTAAATACCTATATCTTTATATAATTCTTTGTTTATTTCAAAGTTATATCTTTAAAACTTAAAAGTTATGTACTTTCATTATTTAGTGTTATTAAAAATATTATACCTGAACTAACACGTATCCATAATTTTAATTTAGTTTATATATAGCCATTACAAGTAAATGGCTCTTAATGTTATGAATATTATAATAGACATTGTTAATGACTATTTCATTCTTTTCTTAATTATTTAAATCATCTACTGTTAAACTTAAAAATATATTTTACAATTTTTTTAAAATACTTAAGTTTATTGTATAGGAAAGTATATGTAATTCTATAGCAAACATTTATCATATATAAATGAATATTTACAATAAATATCATGGATATATATTATTTTAAATATGTAAAAAATAGTATAAATCATTTATGTTAAATTTGTACAAATAATTTATTCTATATAATAATAAAATAAATAAATAAAATATAAATTATTAAATTGGAATGTTGGATCGGTTTTACTTTCTTGACTGTCTTTATTTTCATTCGACAAGAAAGAGATCTATCTTCGAAGATATAATTACATAAATAATAAAATAGAGCCTAAGACCATATGTTTCAGGATTTCACATATGTTTCACTCGAAATTAAAAAATTACGGTATAATAATTATATTATATACATACAGTTAGGGTTCGTAATATTTAAAAATTAATGTCTATAAATATGAATAACAATTTAATTACATTTAATAACATAAATAATCATGATAATTTTGACAATATATTATTATACATTCATTTATAAAACATATAAATACGATTATGTTTTCTAACTATAATATTGAAGATTATTTTTTCAATACCTTGATGAGAAAAGCTTAGTTTGATAACATTCTTTTAAATTTTTGCAGTTAATGTGTCATTAAAAATTGTGGCTAATACGTACGTTATAATATATAATTATGTTATAAATAATTTTAGCATCTTATATTTTTTTTAAAAACTAAGATGAGATTTAAATAAAAATGAAAATCAGAAAACATATAAATGAATTTATATTTCTCCCATTTGCTTATTTCTTCTCAATTGTATACTATTTTTAACTTGAAAACAATTTGTTCACTTTGACAATGAATCCAATATTTAGAGTAATTATTTGTTAAGGTATATGGAGAATTGTTTTGTTAAGAAAAAAATAGTTAAAAATTCTTAGTTTATGAAGAATTATCTATGTTACTATTCCCTAATAACTTATCAGACAAAGGTTCCTTTAAGTGGAATAAGTTATTTGGGAGTGGCTAAGTGGAATATGTGGAATAATAGAAACAAGGCTGTGATTTAAAATTCCTCCTTAAATATTAATGCCCTTTTGCATAAAATTATGTGTTATTTTAATTCTTTTCAATTAGCTTATCAGAGAGCATCGTAGTAACATAAAATGTAATCCAATTTATCTTTGAAGAGACAACTAAAGCTTAATATGGATGAAACTACAATCTAATATTAGAATGCTCTCAGTTGTGATAATTTTATTTGGGACAATAAAGACAAGTTTGTTATTGGTTTTTTCAGCTCTTTGAACTCTTGCTTCTCCTAGCTGCTGAGTTATGAAAAAAATTTTAGATTTCAAAGTTTGTAATTTCTAACAATGTCAATCTCATTTGAATAGAAAGTGACTCTAAAAATGTTATTTTTATTATTATTAATTATTATAGTGACAATTACTCACTTTTTTTTTTTGTATTTAGTGTGAGATTAGAAAATTAGCTTCTAATGTACTATTTATTAAATTTAGTCATATCCTTAAAGAAATCAACCAAAGTGCGAATTAGCTTGCAAAGTGTGGGCTTGAAGCTGATGTGCATTTTTCCTCCTTTAATGAAATCCTTTTTTTTTAGTTTCGTTGATGAGAATGGATACTATTGAAGTCTCATCGTCTAAACTAATGTGTTAGGTTTCCTTCGTTTATTAGAAAAAAAAAAAATATTAAATAATAGTTAATAATTATTATTTTAAAATATAAATTCATCAAAATAAATTTCACTTCAAATAATGTCTTTTCATGATAACTTAAATTTATATAAAAAAATTATATAAAAATTATAATAGATAAAGTTTTAGAAAATAAAATACGCAATATATTTTTACTGTGTAAATATTTATTATCAACAATTATAAAATTATTCTT